GTTATTTAAGGACATACATCCAAGTGTGTATGTGTGCTGGTATGTTTTCGTATTTGCTTTCTTGTGTAGGCGTAGATCCTATGTCGACTGTTGGGTGCCACCTAAATGAAATACCTTGCCGAAGGCACCCATAATAGAATTCCACATTGTCTCTTTAATTTATAATTTTTCACGAAATGTAATTTCTTGCATTGATTTAAAGATACAATTACACACAATCCTTCTCATCAAACTACAATGTCATGTGACACAATGGCACATCGGCAAATCCCTGGTATCAAAGCTGTTGGTGCTGAATTTATATTCGTATGGTCCCTTCCTATGTAATGCGGTTGTACTAATTAAGTAAAGCTATTAGACTAATCGAAGAGCAGTAAATATTTATGTTTATGGCTTATGCATCAGGAGATTAAATTTGAAAAATCTGACCCTTTACTTCGTATTCATAGTTACTATTTGAAAAATGGTAGTTTCTACTCCTGCTTAACGCTCAGCAAATTAGGAGTGGGACGACCGGGTGGGATGTCCTGCTGGGTGTCTTCGGCAGTATGTTTCAGTGAGGTAGCACTATAAAGTCGGCATCAGTTCCGCGCTATCACAAGGAGACAAACACGAACATATCGCAGCCTCCCAAAATTCACACACATACACTACACGCATGTATCTTGCACACAGGGGAGGCCGTCCTTAAACGACCTTACTTGTTAATAGGACGTTAAACAAAATAACACCAAACCAAAGCATTGCGTTGCATAACTCGACTAATAAAGTTGCAATATTTTACTTTAATGTAATGTGACAGAGTAGAATGATATGGCAGGCGCCTTCAGCTTGGTATTTCAGAAAGGGAGCATCTAAATTCGGCATTAGTTCTGCGATATCACGAGTAAGCAAATACACAAACTTTACACCTCCTTGAAAATCATATAAATGACTAACATGTACTTAAATGACCTTGGCTGTTAATAGACGCTTATCTCATCCAATCAAACGGTTTAATATTAGAACAACAGTTCTCCCACAGCATATTTAAAACCGCTCGAAATACACCAACGCAGCATATTTAAATTCTCCAGAAACATTGTAGCACAGACTATCTCAAACCGTCAAACATATACCAAAGCAAATCCAGATTCCTAAAAATCGATGAGGTAAAAGCACAGGAAATGGGAAAATAACAACTGAAACATACAATGAATACTTTGAACGAGAATGTGTTTTTTTCACAATTCCTAGCTCCCTGTATGATATTTCCCGTCAGATCAAATGTAAGTCACCCAGTATCCAGGAAATAACGAACTAGCCTTTTGTTATATTAGAGACATATATCGCATAGTCGGAAAGCACGACATGACAAGGTCTTTAAAATCTCTTTAACTTGAATCATCATTTGTCGTTCTAGAGAACCCGTCTGTTAAGAATAAACATACATAAAACATAATCTGGATACAAAATCCTTTGTGACATGTTGTCCCCATGTGTAAGAAGGTTTTTTTTATATTTGGGATGAGCATCAATAGATTAAAATGTGAAATTGAATCTCTATTCATCACCCCTGGTAGAAGCACGCTCCATAAAAATATAGTCTGTTGAAAATATTTTTCAATAAAATTCAACAAACATGTTGTTAAGCAAAAATTAATCGTGCAGACAATTTCATTTTCTTTGGGAGTTTGTTCTTGCTAGCTGTGTGCCGCTTTTTACAGGGTCTCATCTATATCAGTAATAATATATTTGCAATGTATGTTTACGACTATTAACATTTCTGCAGCTCGCAGGCGTAATTTGTTGTAACCATAAGGAATGTTTCAATGCAATACTGTATGGGGAAGTTGAAGTTTTAACAGAAATTATATTTGACATCGATTGAAATTGCAAACTTTCCAGCAGTCCTTGTCGTTTTTTAAACATCGACAGGTGAATAATGCCTCTATATGTACAATCAATATCCTCATGCATAGGAAGTCCTACTTTTACTTTGCATGTTCGAACAATCCTGCAATAAACCTGTTTTTGCGAAGTCTCTCATTAAATCTAAGGTTTCCAACTCCATGAATGAAACGTGGGCAGATCATTGGTTAATATGTCGATAAGGTATCAGAAATGTCCATTATATTGAAAAAAACTAATAGTTAACAAATATTAATTGGCAAAAGGTCCAAAAGACTGAAATAGTTGTCCCGATGTACTGGATACAACTAAGAGTACTATTACACAATATCGTTCTGGTCGACGGACAAATAGGTTAGCCTTTTGTACAAATATCCAGTAAATAACCGTTTTATTAAGAAAACAAATAAATAAGAAGACAACTAATTGTTAGAACTGAAGATGTATAAAGAAGAAAACAAATCATGATAATGGTTATTTACGACAGACGTGTCTGGAGATACAATGTTGAGACTTGACGTTGCAATAGAACGTGGTGTGGCCTCTACTGGGATATGTTATCGGTCTTTTACCTGATAAAACCCTCTTAACCAGACGCAAAGGTAGTAATTGTGTTACAAAGCCAACAGCTAAATAAAGAGACATTACAATTAATACATCTGCTTTGAAATGATATCCACTGTAATTAATCAGTGTTTACTCAAAATTTATATAATTAATTTCTGAAACAGCATAACTAATTGGCACGTGTCATTGTAAGTTATTCCATGCAACTGAACTTCACACTTCGTAGTAATTAGTGGGGTTTTTTTCTTCTTAATTATACACTGTTAGATATTGTTTTAAAGCATTCCCCTGATGCCGGAATGCTTTGATACATCCTTCATAACTGAAAAAATCAATGGCTTCATCGTATTTTATGAACTGATTAGCAGTTGTTTTATATTTTCTCTTAAACATAAGGGTTTAAGTATATATATCAGGATATGGAGTTCTTTCAGTTCAGTGATTAGTTTAGTTGTTTTCCTTGTACGCTCTTTTCATGCTCTTTAAAAAAAATAATTCAAGAGCAACACACTTATCAGTTAATACTCCAAGGATGTGTCACCAAGGTGTTGCGTAAAATCCAGTACTCCTTCCTGCGAACAACTTCCTTTGATTTAGTCTCAACCATTGTTCCATACTTTGACGAATTTTCTAAAAAGGAAACGATCAGCGTTATTCTTAATGATATTTTGAGTCATCTTCGAATGAAAATGCTTCGTATTTCAAGGTATCTGGTAAGTCAATTATGTAGATGACCAATAATCTGTCGCCTATAAAAGACCCATGATACACTTTGGAGAAGTTGCCTTTGACAACGACGCTCTGTGTCCTATTTTTAAAAGTCCTCTTCCCATTTAGTAGTTGTATGGTGTAATTCAAGTCTTTCAATCTTATATTTTTTATCTTAAATAGAACTATGGTTAATGAGCAAGCAACATCTAGTCTTAAACATGCTGAATTAATTTCATCTATAATTTCATTTGAACCCGGTGCAATTAATATATATGGTCAATTCTGTATGTATATCAATCAAAAGTGTAACGCCTGATATTCTCGCTTCTTTTCACGTTCACTTTATGGTCAACGGTATCATCCATAAGATTTTGACTTTCAAATTGAAGGACAGTGCTTCTTGACATTTGTGGCCTTTTTCAAGAAATCTTGAAGTGTGTAGGTATAAGCATTAATGAGGTCAGCGATATTGACTTGATCGATATAACTATAACAGCAAATAGGTCGACGCCATAATACTCCATCAGTGCATGTAGTGGCCTTAAAATACTTTGACAACGTTATCTACTAAAACCACAACTTCAATCAGACATGTTTGTTTGTTTGTGAGTAGTTAATGTTCATGCAATAGGAAAGGTAACCATCAACTAACTGGTCTGAAGGAATTGATACTGAATGTCAACATCAACATAACGGAAGTGCTTGTCATTGGATTCATCTGTTTGAAATGGCGGAAAAAATGCATTGCCTTTCGGTTACTAGTATAGTTTATATATCTATAGCTGACTTGCCCAGTTGAAAAGATTATCCTTTAGTTTCACTTTAATCTAAATGTTTGTTTTAAACTTAAAATCTCGATATAACAAGGTCATGTTTTTGGTGTAGTTTTTTTTGTCTTGCCAGCAGAATTATTTTATTTAATCATACGTACCGTGCAATATTTTCACTGAATAACATTACGGTATTCTAGAAAGAATCAGTTGTATCCAACGTTTAGTTGATGACGTCATTATAATGATGACGTAAGCCGAACTGAATGTGCATATGGCTTTCCATATAAGTCAATATTGTCGCTTCATTTTTAGAAATTCTGCTATGTTAATGATTATTTGTCGAAAATAATGGCGAGTTATTTCCCTTTTAAATGAATACTCTTATAAAACTACTTGAATATAATGTCTAAATGTGCGTGTTTATCTTAATTTATTTCTAAATGTGCAAGAAAATACATAATTTTTTGGACAGATGTTTTAGTCCAGGACTCGGTTGAATTCAACCAGGTTTTATGATCCAACAATGTCTCTTCGGAATGACACATAGACATTTTGAAAACAATCTTTAGGGCTCGACAAACAAATAATCCTGATATACGGTCAGGCGTCATTAGATTTAGTTAGTAGTTAAGATTAAAAATTACTGCATATAAAGTACACAAAGTAGTATGTCTTTCAGTATGTTATTGTATTTTTTCTAATTATTTCATTTTTAGTATTGTATATTTCAAAAAGAAAAGATGGTATGCGCCAAAGTATGGTATCCTTCTTTAAGACCGACATTGTAAAATACGATACATACTAGCACTACGCTGGTATTGGTTTTTATTCGCTTTTTTACATTCAGGAAACGTGGCTTTAAACTTTAAAATGTCTTGCAATCACATTTTCACTATATTTTGATATTCATACGGATTGGTCATATTTCCAGAAAACTGCTCTTAAATTTTACAGGTGTAATTATCGAAAACATTCATATAAAACGGAATATTTCAAGCAACACCAGATACATATCCTTTTAATAAAGTTATAGTAAGTCCAAAACTGTAAATTTCTTGAATTTACCTTAAATTATTTCTTTATTCATTATTGCACATTAATAAGTGTTAAAGGTATACAACCGTTTCAGCACTTAAGATGTCTATCAATTCTTCCTCCAACTTTGCTACTTTTTAGAAAGATCTCTAGGCACCTGTCTCCATGACGCTTAACCCGGGACAACAAAATCGATTACACTGCAACAGTATTATCGATGAAATGATAAGATTATATGGGAGAATTAAGATAACACATGTTTGTTTAATATACAATTTCAAATTTGTGGCAATTTAAAGTGGATTCATTTTTCTCCGGAAGTATAGCCTCATAATGATCAAACTTTTTGTGTCATTTCCCGGAAAATATGTCATAACGGTTATCATTTCCTCATTGCAAAATGACAAAGACATTTGTGTTTAGCTATTTATTTTTTATACATTCTAACTACGTCTAAAACACAGATCAAATATATAAAGTTTGTTCTAAACAGGTTTTTTTAAGATTGATATAATCTTCATAACTTAAGTGTTCACCACCACAGAATGTACATAACTGTATCAGGTACATCATTAACTCATTGACTAATCTCATCTTGCTGCTCCAGTCGTATATGGCACTCAAATATTCTATCCAGAAACACATACACACCGTTATGTCTTCCATTAATATTCTAATCCAAATCACCAGTTTAAGTGAGGAACACCAGAGATAAAAAGTCTTCACGTTGAAATTGTATCGGATTTCCAGGCTAAAAGAGTGATTGTTTTTATTGTCGTTCTTGACTGGCTTCAAACCGGAGAAGGGGTATGTATTTGACACCATACCTCACACTCCGTGAACTCGGCACGGCATTCCATTTCACAGGGTAGTAAAAGCAGCCTCTCTTGCACTTCTTTCCGACATTTAGTCATACAGGAAGTAAGTTCAACCCTGCAGTCAACACAACACGCCACGATGCGTACATTACGATTCAGTACGTTGTCATCATTCACGTCGTCACATTGCGGTTTATTGCTCGCTAGAACGCCTGCATTACACCACACACAGATGAGAAGCACGGCCAGAACGTAGTTCTTATTCGTTCTTGAAACCTGAAACAAAAATATAATATTTACTATAGACATATACTATAATAGACACTCTTTATTGAGGATAAACACATGTTTAGCCATGTACCAATCTTCCGCATGATCCTCAAATAAATATATGTCCTACATATACCAGAAAAACACAACATACCACCACAGCTAGAACAAGCTTCTTGTTCAATTTCAATTTCAATAAATTTTATTGTCAAAGGACAAATGGATTGGGTAGCAGGCACAGCCTATTTAAGCCCTTTCCAAACATAGTAACAGACAGTGGTACAAGCATAGACATAGAACACATACAAACACATATAAACAAGTTGGTATTATCAAATTAATAATCAAATTAGGGGAAACAACTACTAATACTCATTTTTATTATAATTGAATCTAATGGTTTGAATTCTAACCTTTTATTTTGATATTGAAAAGACATAAAAAATATATACCGGTATATACATATTATGAAGAGAAAAGAAAAATANTAAAATAATATAAAAAGCTTCTTGTTCATCACTGTAACAAGAAATAAACGTTCGTTTTGTACTATATTAGACAATAAATTAATATCTGATGTGAAAGACTCTATATCAATATGAATACAGGTATTCTGGAGATGGCTCAGAGGTTCATTAAAGATACTAGACGCTTTTACTAGATTACACGTTTATATATATATCAATTAATTTGCACATGACTTTGCTGTTTGGAATGATACCAGCACAGTGTGATCTAGTTTCTGTATCAAAAATCGTCAAAAAAGAAAATAACATGCAATTAGCTATTTATATATAATACATACACATGTTTTGGCTTTGATACAATATGATGTGTGTAACGGTTTATTACTGTAAGGAGAGGGCGCTCATAGGCTTTGTTTGTTGCCCAACTCCTTTGTATCTAAGATCTGAACAATAAATATTCCAAAATGAAAGGAAACAATATAGCGAAGAGTAACACAGGATGCATAACAAAATAAAGACAAACAATGCAATGCCATAGATTCAGAATTCAGAATTATATAGATTTGTATGTATTAAAGGATTCCCTTGTATTGTCGTTTCGGGAAGACGTATTGAAATATTGTTTTGAAAAATGATATTCAATTGAACATCTGACTAGTTTATGTGAGGGAAGCATTGAAATTGCAAACGAACCAACAAACCTCGCACCCAATGAACTAATTATAATTCTAAATATCTTCTCTCAATGAGGCCTGATGATAATCCGTTGACAATGACTTGCCGTATTCATATCACCATGAAAATAATCCAGCTTATTTATATTGAATAAGTCAACAATCACTGGAAGATTCTGAGCACAAATCTTGTGTCACGTTAATTATTCAAATTGATTTTAGAATTATTTCTGCTATTGATGCTAGACACTATCGAGCAATAGGAATAAATGCTAAATTAAAAATCGTGTGGATCTTTATTATGTACAACATCAACTTTGATTAATCTAATCATCCAAATGATAATTTGTGCTGACATCGATCAGATTAAGTGATGGAATATATGGTTATTAATATAGATCAGACTGCTGAGTGTTAAGGACAGAAAATAGAAAGCTATGCACGTGCAATTCCCGTAAACATACCATTAAAACAGAGACAAGTATAATAAATAGCTAAGGAGAGTTAACCTCAATTTCATGTCGTATTCACATTAAGTGTGTCAGCCAAACATGCAATAAATGTATGTAGATAGATATTTAATGTACCGGCAGTGTCTAATGAATTGAATCTAGACACAGATTCATGTTGAATTTGATGATTATTTTCTGTTGGATAATGTTAAAACTCCTGTATAACTAGCGAGCTTCGACAAAGATTAACTTATGAGAACTAACGACAAGTTATAACTACATGTATGACCGTTATATTTCATTTAATGGCGGAATTGTCGGGACTTTGAGTGAAATGATATGCGTGTATTTTTTTGTTCACTCTGACACACATTTATGTGTATGACAAGAGTCCATATACATTATACAGCTTCCTAGCATGACAGGTGAGGCGGACAAGTATAAATATTCAACAGGCTTAAATGTGTATTATGATGCATGCTTAACTGCTGTGGGTCTTGATTGGGTGTGCCCGGGAGTACTAAAACTTGGTGGTGCTGGAGGAGTACAGCAGTAGCACAATTGAAATTTTATACGGTAACAATTGATCAAATACCCCGGTTTTTTTTGGTTCTGCGACACCTTAAGAGCTACGCATAAATCAGACGTTTTTGTTTCCAATTTTTTAGAAGCTAGCCATACTCTTGCCTCAGTGTAAGATATTCAGCTTTTGGACATTAGTTGACTTGGGTCACAGGTATCTTCCAAAACGAGGACTGGATTGCTGTTTAGGTATTAACGATACACCAGAGGTTACGTTGTCTGTACCTCTGTGATATTTAATGACAAAACTGGTGGCACGCTGCTGATATTTGATAAGTATCGGTTAAACAAAAAAAAAAACAGTCGCTTTCTAAGCCAAATTTCATTTAGAAAAAAAAACATATTCGTGTTGTGCTGATTTCTCGCCTAACGACATGATAAAGGACACTAACCTAGATCATAATATTTTCGGCCACAAACCTGTGTTTATCGACAATTCTGAATATATATTAATTACATCAGTCCTTTTAATTATTCATTAACTGTATATTCGCTCTATTAAATATACCTCAGTTTTAAAGTTGTAAAACGTGTAACTTATGAATGTTGTCAAGTCTTTCAATAACAAAAACTTGATTTCTTGCTGCATTTAAGTGTACTTGTGAATAAGAAGATTTAGGACGTGAATAAGTATCAAGCATGTTTGTACTTTCATTTGTTTTTCAAGACCTCATATAGACCTAGTATGCACTGCCCTTATGTAAATTGACAGGGAAACGCTTCTATATATTAAAAATGTATGACGTTTCGGTCAAGTGGCACCATTGGTTAGCCCGATTTTAGAATAATGTAACCGGATTGAGTGTCGTGTGACTTTGTCAAGTTCATGATTCTGGTAAATTGACTGTGAAAGGTTTATTATAATTAAAACGTGTGATGTTTCCGTTCAAGTGGCTCCTTTGGTTAGCCCGATTTCAGAGTAATGTGACCGGATTAAGTGTCGTGTGACCTTGTCAAATTTCTGATTCTGTGTAATGGCATTTTAAAAGAGGTCCTTAAATTGGCCTTTTATCTATAGACCCATTATGTGTATTACCTAAGCTATAGCGACGAAACAAATCCCCTTTTAAAGAAATAATGTTCAGATCGTTTGTAACGAGGAACTGAAACTCTAATAAATAAACATATAAGTGGTTGTTCGTGGCTATACGTGGTTATGTATATATTATTTATTATTTTACAAAATTCTTGTTTATTTTTGCATCACTGTCCATTTATTGTAGGCTGTACGTTTCTCCTAATCATAGGCTTTAAGACTCGTGTCGCCTTTGCTTAAATATTAATCAGTGTGAAAGCAATCAGTCTTATTCAACCGTTACATTTAAATAAAACCACACAAAACCGCGAACTGTAGAGCAGATTAAACTGAATATATTCTGTTTAATGCTGTACGAGTGTGCTAATAGGCTTTTCGAAAACGAAAAGGGCCGACGTGATTTTCTGTGGAAATTACAATAGAGAGAAATTAGCGGCCAGGCGTCATTAGATTTAGTTCGTAGTCAGGATTAAAAATAACTGGATATATGATTAAGTAATATATAAGGTTCAGAATTAAACATAATCTGCATAATGTAGTGTGTCTTACAGTATCTTATTGTAATATTTTTTATAATAAAGTCAATTACATATTTCATTTTTAATATTGTAGATTAGAAAGAAACCTTCTTAGTAAAACATACCAAGATTGATTGGTGTTTGCAATACAGTTCATGATATACCTTTGTTAACATTGACTGAAACAGTAAATAGCGAGTACATTTGCGCAAGATGATCTGAATAATTGAATAAAAGTCAAAAGCCAATTTGTTCAAAAGGTGATAAGCTTAATCAGGGATTAACGCATTTTTTGTGTGTATTTTTTTACACAACCATTGAATTAGTTACAACTTTCCAGATATCTTATATTTAGTAGAGTAAGTTTACATACAAAATTGTTTAATTTTCCCCTTGTATATTGACGAAATGATTAAAGGTTGAAACAGAGATTAAGATAACCACCTTTTGAACAACTGGGCTCATGTGTTTAAAAGTAATGGTTTTATCTTGCTTTTGTATCATTAAACAGTTAATTAAAATGTCTTAGAACACAAAACGATCAAGGATTAATACTGAAAAGATATGTTATTGTCACAGATATACTATAAACTCACAAATAGACAGTGTTTTTTAAGAATTCCACAGGATAGAACACACTGCAGAGGAGGTGATTTTGCATAGGTTAAAAAACAAACCGTTGTGATTTTTTTTTAAATCCATGCTTGCTGAAAAGCAAACAAAGCATTCATGAGGTTTCTCCTTTCATAATGTTAAATTGGATATTATTTTTCCGTGAATGAAATTAAAAACAAATCTTGTATTTCCATTTTTAGACAAACAAATGGGGAATAACTTTTTTAACCGTTTAAAAAATCACATTCATTAAAAAAAATACTTTATCTAGTTAAACTATGTTAATTGTCTACGTTGTTCTGATATAATTTATATACAAGATTATGAAACACAAACATTGAGAGTTTTCTTCTGTCAAAAATGAATAGTAGGCACATTTCCAGTTAGAAACACCCTTGTAAATCCAGGATCGACTCGATAACATACATATAAATAGACACATGCGAATATAAGCATTCAAGTGGACTATCATACGTAGCTTACACATAGAACTAGTTGTTTGTGGCTTTTTCACTAATATTATCTAAATACTATCTTGTAGTTAGTAATTAGTAATTAGTAGTACAGACCCGTTCACGTTCGCTGTTCCACTTTCAGCGTACCGTTTGCGTAGCATTTCCGTACCGTTTGCGTAGCACTTGCGTACCATTTCCGTACCATTT